ATAAAAGACTCAACTTCTTAATTATAGAAAGTAACCAGGATATAACTGGATATACAAAAAATTTAAAACTAAATATTGATAACCATGGAGTACGGAAATAATAAATGATATAAAAAAAATGATAAATAGGTTCCATAGTAAATTAAAATTATACAAATTAAAATTTTATTTGGTTTTTAGGGTATTGGATTATGGTATAAATAACCAAAATGGAGGAAAATATGTAAAATGGGAGAATTTCATCTATATCCTTGTAAACTTTCATAATTACGTTTATATCTTTGTATAATTTTAAATTATATATATATATATATATATATATATATATATATATATATATATATATATATATATATATATATATATATATATCCTTATAAAACCTATAAAATTACATATATATCCAAATACTTAATTTAATCATATTTAATATATTAAAAAAATAAAAACACAATCTTTAAATTAATTTTTTTTATTAAAAATATAATTAACTTGTAATATTACAATATTATTTTTATCCTCCATTGCTATTCTCTACCTATTTACTTTATGAATCCTTACAAAAAATATTGAAACCCATATTGAAATTTTTTTTTCTGTCATTTACCTGTATAGTTATAACTGAAAACAGAGTAAGAACAAAATTGGTTAGAAAAAGAATTATTACAGGTTTCGTAAATCGATTAAAGGAGATGAACTATATTGTTTAACAATTTTAATATGGTATCAATGAGTTTTTCTAATCGATTATGTGTAGATACGCATATTGTGAATAAAATTATTGATTATAAAAAAGATTGCAAATAAGTATTTTGGTAATTTAGTTATAATTTAATTTAAAGATAGTGTTTTTATTATTTAAATAAATTAAATATTATTAAATTAACTATTTGGATATATATGTAATTTTATAGGTTTTATAAGGATATATATTTAATTTAAAATTTTATAAAGTTATATACGTAATTATGAAAGTTTATAAGGATATAAATGAAAATTTTCCTAAATTTATAAATCAACAGTTATTAAAAACATGATGCAATAGTAATTAGGGCAATAAAACGATTAATGAGGCATTTACACAAAAAAATACACATGAATAGGAAATAATCGTACACCGTCTAAGCAATTGAAGAAGAGAGTTCTAAATAGCCAATTGATGAAGAAATTTAAAACATAGTATGGAGAAAATTAATGAATAATATATCCATAAAATAATAATGATAGAAGTGATGATTTAAAATCAATATAAAGGCAACAATATAATCTAATTTAAATTGAAATGAACATTTTAAATTGAGTTACAATTAAATATCTTATCAAAAAAATTATTAATTGACCACAAAATTATACAATCCCAGCACTTAAAAATGTTTATTATCTGCACCAAAATAAAATAAACTAATTTGCAAATTCATAATTAAATATAAGTTTTTTTATATTTATATTGTTTTTAATTTTTCAACAGTAACCTAATTTGTTATATAAAATTAATAAAAGAGTTTTTTCCAAAATAGACCTTAAATTTAAAGTTTTTTTCTATTAAAACCAAAAGTTTTACTTTTTTCCTAAAAAGACCATATTTTTTTAGGAACCTTGTTATTTAGGAGGTATAACCAGTTGACTAAGTCAACAACCGGTATCAAGCGGTAACCAAGAGGTACGAACCCAACTGTATCCTTCCAATCCATGAGACGTACGTACGCAGAGACTCCTTCCTTTCGCTAGGTTTCCATTCGTTGCGCTTCAAGATACACAAGTAGATATGCAAAACTAGGGCTTTTTCTAAAATCACTCAAGAAGAAAGCCATGTCATCCAACAACGATGCCAAGAAGAAAACTAAGAAACACAACAAAAAATACGCATATTATGAAGATCCCGAAGATCAAATTCTCGTGTCAGACATGCCCTTAGACTATGAGAGGGAAAAGGTAATAGTTGTTTCATTCCAATGTGTTAAAGATCCTTTTCTTACCAAACTTTTTGAAGATGAATCTGAGTTTTTTGGTGAAAAAAGATGAATATGCAGATGATTTAGTTCATCTAAAAGATGACGAGAATGACATTGGTGGTTCCAATTTTGTCCATGATCCCACCATAGAGTGGAATCTCATGGAACCAAATCTTGGAGAGAAAATATCAAAAATTTTCTCAATTGAAAAATTGTCTTATTAACTATGTTGTGGCCCATGGGTACCCCCTAAGGTTTGAGAAACTTGAAAGTACTAGGTTAGTTGCTAGATGTGGTAGAGATACAGACAAAAAAAATGTGATTTTCGTTTGTATGCATCATGGATGAACACAGAAAGAACAGTCCAAGTAAAGTCGATGAAAAAGAAGCACTCATGTTCAAGAAGGTTTACTTTTGGACACCTTGTATCCCCTCAGTGGATTGCTTCTCATCTTGTGAAGGAGATTGTTTTCAACCCATCTATTAAACTTAAAGAATTGAGGGAACTCATTAGGACAAAATTCAAGATCACCCTATCTATCATTAAATGTAACAGGGCTAAACATAAGGCAATGGTGATGATTGAAGGGAAGGCTAGTGATCATTATGCTAGAATTTGGGACTATGCTGCAGAAATACAAAGATCCAACCCTGGTAGTACTGTGCAAGTGGGTGTAAACCTTAATCCTGATGGAAAACATTACTTCCATAGATTCTATGTATGCTTTCATGCATTGAAAACAAGATGAATTGTTGGATGTAGAAGAATGATAGGATTAGATGGGTGCTTTTTTGAAAGGGCAAGTAAAGGGTGAACTCCTAACAGCTATAGGAAGAGATGCCAATAACCAAGTATATCCTATATGTTGGGCTGTGGTAGACATTGAGAACAAGCAAAACTGGAAGTGGTTCTTGGAGCTTCTTAGTGAGGATTTTGGAGTACAAGAAGGTGGAGGTCTTACAGTTATATCAGACCAGCATAAGGTATATTGTTTCTTGTCCCTTATTTCAAAGGTGTCAAATAACATTGTTATTCTTTTAGGGGCTACTTGAAGCAGTAAAGGAGATCTTGCCAAATGCGGAGCATAAACAATGTGCTCGCCATATATACGCAAACTTTAAGAAGTCATATAAAGGAGAAGAGTACAAAGATTTGTTTTGGGCTGCTGTTGGTTGCACTGTCGAACCTGAATTCATATATGTGATGGAGAGATTGAAGGCTATAGATGTTGGAATAAGGCATGCAGACATGAACAGATTGTGAGTGCCATTTTATTTTTTTTATTATTTTTTTGTAAAAGTGAAACTATTTTACAAAATAGTAGATGTGTTTTTACTTCGAGGTTGAAAATAAGTTTAATTGCATCATCATCTTTATCTAAAAAATTCAAAGGATCTATGTCGTTTTTGAATATTAGTATTAGTGATTTTCACCACAAATTGATTTTTTTTTCTTTTCTTTTTTGCCCTATTAATGAGATATATTGTTTAACTTTATATATATATATATATATATATATATATATATATATATATATATATATATATTGTTGAAGTGAATGGGCAGTTAATATCCAAAGAGACAGATATGCATCATATGTTGGGCATTATCCAATGCTTGCATATTTTGCAATAGCAGAAAATAAATCAATTGGAAGAGAACGCTACAATTTTATGCATGTATTTATTCTTCACATAATCATTATAATCATACATCAACTATCCTTCTAAAGAGTGGTTACTTTGTATATATTTTCTTTGTTCCTTTTTTGATAAGCTAAATCCAAAAAAAAAAAAGTACAATGCAAAGAATGATCAATTCGGGTTTATATTTGGACATCCATAAAATCTTCTATTTTCATTACATGGTATAAGTTCAGGTTATCAGTACAATGCAAAGAATGATCAATTATATCATTACATGGTATAAGTTCAGGTTTATATTTGGAAATCCAAAAAAAAATTACAAACATTTTACCTTGTAATTTGGACATCCATAAAATCTTCTACCAGGATTCTTTGCGGTCCATGATGTAAACATAGGAGCTTCTTCATTACACTTGCACAATTCAACTCCACCGTTCTTTACTATCCTTCTACTTCTGATGCTCCTGATGCTTGAAGAAGATGACATTTTCGAGGACTAACAAGTTGGTGAATCAAGCAAAGAATGATCAATTCAGGTTTATATTTCATATATCAATTCAGTTTTATAAACCTGAATTAACATCAATAAACATCAATTCAGTTTCATATAACAAAGTTTTCAGCACATTACAGATATGTGCATACTAAAAAAAACAGATAGCATTTTTCCAACTCCACCGTTTTTTTTCTATAAATATAAACCTGAATCAACATCAATTAACACACACATCCAAAAGATGGAATCAGAAGCTACGAAGGCAAACAAAATCGGAAAACATGTTTTCCTGAAATGCACAAATCACAAACTCAGAAGTTTTTGTACTAAGAGGGAAATTCGAAAATTAAACCTGAGGGCTGAGAATAAGGAATGTTGAAGGAAGATAACTGTGGAGTTGGAGAGTTGAGCGGAAGGCTATCGAGCTGAACAAAGCGTGAGATCGAGAAAAGAACTTACTTCAGTGATTCCTGGATGCCATAGCCTTCTTGTGCGATTTCTGGAACTGAGAATTGGAGAAGAAAAACCCTAATTTTGCATATGTACTTGGGTATCTTGAAGCGCAGCTAGACAATGGAAGAAGAACGATCAATGTAGAAGAAGAGAAACGCACGTATAATAATGGGATACGTTCGTACTTCGTACCTTGATATCGGTTGTTGACTTAGTCAACCGGTTATACCTCCTAAATAACAAGGATCCTCAAAAAATGTGGTCTTTTTTAAGAAAAAAGTAAAACTTTTGGTTTAAATAGAAAAAAACCGGAAATTTAAGGTCTATTTTGGAAAAAACCCTTAATAAAATCACAATATAACAAAAATAATATATCATGTACGTAATTCACCGGAGGACAATTAGGGTTTTAATATCCGGATGAAACAAACTCCTGATCAGTGTTCTGAACCATGAAGAACATCGTGAAATCCGGCGAAGTAGATGCAGATGCTTCTTCTTCATTCAGTCGTCTGCCAGATGAAATAATCCTCCAGATTTTAAACAAATTAATCGATTTGAAAACCCTTTGCTTTTGCTATCTCATTTGCAGACGTTTCTCCTCGATTGTACTTCAAGTCGATGTCATTTCCTTCACTGCTCCTTTCTTAGAACCTAAAATTCCCGATAAGACAACCGCCGGTGATGTTGCCCCGCTTCCGCCTAAACTTTCTTCGTATTACGGTGAGTCCTTTGTATCTGCCAGTAACTTTTTGAAAAAGTTTAGAGGACTGAAGCTGTAAAGGAGATTATAGAGAAGCATAAGGCCATGATGCATACATACCATCCCGATGGTGCTCTAGTGTGAATGAAGTCCATTCTCTGAACCTCATAACACTTAATCTCTTCTCTTTTGCAATTGAATATCTACCAAGTTAGAACTCAGGTCATATAGTTTAGATTTGAAATTAATCAAGAAACATAATTAAAGCTGTTGGGTTTTTTTTATGAAGTTCAGGTGGGTGTGGATCTTTCATTTGTGTCCTGATTTTCCATTATTCTAGGAGATTTTCTAACACATGTTATGTGTTTAATCTTTGTAAGATCTTGAGTTTTGTAAATGTGGTTATTTAATCAAAAATTTATTTTGGAAGCTATTAGTACTGTTTGTTTTAGGTAGAAACCTTTATTTAAGAAAAGTCTAAAAGCCTACTTGTCATACATGAATGAAGTTTTGTTTGCTAATTATTATAGCTGGAAGTTGTAGAGTTTATTTATGTTAGAGTTTTTGGCAAAAATAATTGTTAGCTTTTAAATGTATAATATTAGTTACATTATCTAATTGGATTTAAAAAGTAGACTTGGATTGCTTATTTGTTAAGTAAAAATAGAGATTTGCAAGAAAATTGTTCAAACATTATCTAACCATTGTACTCATTATAATCCATGTTAAAGTTTATAATAACTAACATTATGTTTATGTATGGCATGCATTTTCAGGCACTGAAGCAACTTCAAGTAACAACTAACAAAGAAAGGGGAAATATTTGGTAGATTGGTAGATATTAATTGGTAGAAGATAGAACAAATCTTTAAAGCAACTTTTGTGATGGGTTTACTATTAAAGATGGGTTGCTATGTAAGTGACACATAGACATACTACTTAACATCTATATTTTTAACATATTTTGGTTTTTCATGGACCTTTTAAAAGTTTGTCAATGGGTCTCACCTATTTTATATAATCAAATCTATATTCTTTTATATTGAATCATGCGACATAAACAATATATTAATTTTTTTATCAATTAAAGAAGGATGTGAAATAAAATTAAAAAAAAGCACTTTAAAGTTTTTATAAAATTTAAAATAAGTATGACCTAATAATTATGATCATATGTTTAGAGGTGTAATATATTTCTATATTATTATGTATAACAAATTAAGTTAAAAGAACAGGGATTCAACTATTCAAAAAAAAAAAATAGCTTTTTCAGTTGAAATATGAATTGATAAGATAAAATATAACAAAAGAAGAGGAAACCAATCTAAACGAACACAATGTCAAAATTAATTAGATTTCCATATTACAATGCCTTAAGAAGAAATTTTATGAATGTGACCTTTTGACAGTTACTATAATCTTCACATGCGTGGACAACCTCTTTAGCAAGTTGAGCACCCGAAGTTTCTTTCTGCGTAATAATATATTATTCCATTCGGTTGAAATATGAATTGATAAAATAGAATATAATAAAAAAAGGAAAATCAATCTAAATGATTAATGACCTGCTCAGAATCATACTCATTTTCAGAAGTGATATCACGTTTGCCATGGTTTATCCATGGTGTACGCGTAATAGACCTTTTTACATCTTCGTTATCAATGTACTCAACCCATGCTTCATTTTTTGTTGTATGTGAACCAAAAGCACTAACACAAACCGAATTGTCTACTCTTTTTAGGGAAAAAGTTGTAAGTGACCCAAAACCTAGTGGAAAAGATGGAATTTCCATGTTCTCTTCTTTAACACGATACGTGAGAAGTTTTGTTTCCATCATGTTGTTTGTTTTTCCTAAAAAAACCACTTCTGACCACTTATTGTTGCGCCGCGCAATATTTGGCTCTTCGTAGCTGTTTGTTTTTCAGAAGACTTCTGACTTAAAAAATGTTGCGCGTGTGCTGCGTGGTGCAGCACTGGGCCCTCTGCATCAAACCTCTTCACACCTTACTTTAACTTATTAGAGCAGTTTTGCAGAGGTTAAAAAACAAACATACTTATTATTACATGTCGCAACCGTTTGATCTCCCTCTTCTGCTATAAAGGGTTGTAGAGGTGGTCCGCAGACTTCTTGCATTTTCACTTCGAAAAACAAACAGCACCGAAGTTACTTTCACTTGGATTCTTATTTGAGCATTTTTCATATTTAAAACATGTTATTTGCCGTTTAAAAAATGTTATTTACAACAACATTATCAATAATAAGAAACACAACATGTGGTTTTATGAAATTAAGAACTTATAATTTTCACCAACACGTAAGCATATCCATCATCCAATTTACGAATCTATTTGAAACCTAAAAGAGTGTTGAAAATCTCAATAATAAAGTAGCATTTTTACAACCATAACAATTCTTTTGGGTTCCTATATGTAACATCCCAAAATTCAAAACCAAAAATTTCATTTTAATTAAGTTATTTTATAAAATCAACAGTATAAAAACATTCATAATAATATCTCATGTCAAAACCAAAGTGTCAATAGTCAAGACATAGTATCATAAAACCATATCAGAGTGTAATCCCAAAGATCTCATGTGCGGAAAACATAGTGTGATGCGTTGCGATCGAGCCGGATCCTTTCCTTTGAAAACGTAGTACCTGAAACAAAAAGTGAAAACCGTAAGCACGAAGCTTAGTGAGTTCCCCCATCATACCACACACCATACAATAACGTACATAACGTACCGCCAGACGATTCTGGGGTGCCTGACCTACCCATATCAAGCCATTCTGGGGTGCTTGACTTACCCAGATCAAACCATTTTGGGGTGCTTGACTTACCCATGTCAAGCCATTCTGGGGTGCTTGACTTACCCATCAGTTTATCTCAACCGACTACTGGGGGCTATTTCACCCCTACCACTACCACATAATAACATAACATAAACATACTGTTAGGCATGCATGGGTACTGAATACCCCTTCGGTATCTTGCAACCGGTATCTGGGGAATATTTCACCCCTACTACTACTAACACATATAACAGAGCATCCTAGCACATAAAGCATATCATATAGTGGCAAGCTAGACAATTATCACAAAGACAATCATCTCATACATAATCACCTACTGGTGGGCCGACATTGGTGCCTTAGACCCACCTATACTGGAAGGTAACTCACTTCACACTGCTGAAGTCCTGCAGACACAACCCCATCTGTTGGATGACAGATTTCCGAACTGTCAATATAAAAACATCACCCAATTAATAATTGGGTCCCAACACATAACCATAAGTTCTTGGAGTAACATGCTACATTACCCCATCTTGGCTTGATTCAAGCCCAAGGCCCAATCCAAATGCCCAAAAGTCAAACTAGGAATCAAAGCCCAACATATGACCCAATTTTCCAAATTGGGCCCAAACCTTTACATGGTCTTATTCTAAGGCCCAACCATTTAGTTCAGTCCAAACATTTGGCATTTCTAATGGCCCAATATCTCATAATCATAAAGGCCCAATTATGGCCCATCTATGGCCCAATTTTCCAAATTGGGCCTAAACCCTCACATGGTCCTTACCCTAAAGCCCATTAAATTATTATAATCCATATGATTGTTCTTGGATGGCCCATCAATATCCCAATCACCAAAGCCTAATAGAAAGGCCCAACTTAAAGCCCAAGTGAAATTAGGGTTTCACATAAAATGACAATTAGGGTTAAGTGTTTCTCACTTAACCCATTAAGGACTTAATCCATTAAGTCCACCACTCTACTAGATAAATCATATGGTGTGATTGGGCTTAATACATAGTCCAATTCCAATGGCCCAAAATGTGGGTCCCAATAAGTGCAAGCCCATGATTCCAAAATTAAGGTTTTCTAAACCCTAATTAGGGTTTCCAACCTAATCATAGCCCAATAGGCCCAAAAGTTAAGTCCTTAGATCCGTTAGGGTTCATTAGGCCCATTAGGGTTTCACTAGTCGGGCACTACGCACTACCACCTCAGATAGTGGTGGTCAACGACGGCTCACGGCGGCGGCCACCACCTTACGGTGGTGGTTAGGTTTTCTAGTCCATTTTGTCTAAGCATCCAAAAATCAACTACACGCGAGCAAAAGCACACCGCCACCCACCACGGCAGTTGGTGGCGGCAGGAGGCGGCAGCCACCACCTCACGGTGGTGGTTTGAGTTTTCTTTTTATTATTCTAGCTTCGGTTACAATGTTAGAATGAAAATACCAAATGTACACACACACACTCACTAAAATACACCCACCCATGGTGGTACATGGTGGCGGTGGCTGTTCTTAATTTTCCGGCCAAACAAACCATCTACAATTATACACACACGATTTCGATTTGCTCAAAAGGTCCTGCCACCTACCTGGTGGCTCACGGTGGCGGCATCGGCTTTTTCACAATGGCAGCTACCACCTCACGATGGTGGCGGTGGTTTCTTTTGGCTTCCAATCACGCAGCAACACAACACACGCGAGCATACAACCCACGAACCGGTAACAATTTGTCTTCAACGGAAACAGCAGCAGCGTCATCGGACGGTGATGGCGGCGGCAGGTCGTGGCTGACGGCTGGACAGAAGAAAAGGCGAAGAGGGTGGCGACGGCGATGGCAAGCCACGGCGACAACAGCCGCGGCAGGAGGAGAGGTGCCTGCTCGCATCCTCGTCGGCGACTGGCGTAGCAACGGCGCCAGGGAGGCTGATGGCACCCTCCGGCAGCAACATCGTTGGCTGGGACGGCAACAACACATGCCCCCAACGTCGGTCTTCGGTTTTCTCAGCTCCTCTAGCGACAATCTGTGGTGGCATTGGACCAAAGATAGCGGCGACAGCAGGTTCGTGGTGGTGGTTGGCGGCCTCAACGGAGGTGTTGCGGCGTTGGAGGTTGGGAGGGTGAATGGTGACGGCTGAATGCATCCCTAGGGTTAGGGTTTACCGAAAGTTATATACCCGACACCCACTCAAACTTCATTCCATAATGTCACAAATGGTCCCTCCACATAGGATTCTTTTCACAGAAAGTCCATAATTTACTCTTCCCACCCCTGCTCACATAATTCTTTTCATATTTAGTTCCACAGTTACCATTCAGCCCCTCCTTTACAAATCATTCTCAAATAAAGTCCATATGTTACCCTTTTAACCTCAGCCTTCAAAACTCTTTACAAATTGAGTCAGAAATTTACCATTTAGCCCTTGCTTCCCACAATCTATCCATCTTAAGTCCCAATATTTTACCAAGTGGTCCCTATCTTCATAAATATTTACAAAACCAATCCGGAACTTACACTTTTAACCCCCAACTTCTAAATTATGCCAATTTACTCCTCGAAACCAACACCTTGCTATATAATTATTGATTTGGGGTTACTATTCATTCATTAATTTATTTTATTTATTTATTAAATAAACGGGGTGTTACACTATAAAAGTCACCTCTTTATGATTCCATCACTTTATTTCTTTCTGTGATTGAGAAAGGTTTCTCTCGAGCCTGAAACCATGCAACAACAAAAACATAAGAAAGAACTTATAATTATCACCAATACATAAGCATGTCCTATCAGCCAACTTGTGAAACTATTAAGACAATAAGGGTACAATAGAGGACAATGTTCAAAACTTGCATTTCTCTACTTCATCTTCCTATACCACTACCCCTTATTGTCCCCTTTGATCTGGTAACAACTAAATGTTTTACAATTATGCAATATAACTTAGTGTCAATAACTTATATAACTTTATAAACATCGATCAAATTCCTAACATATACAC